ATGGCTTCTCCACCAGGCTGGCGGACTTGCTCCAGGACAAGAGGGAGTAGGTGATCTTCACCGCCCCCGTCACCTCAAAAATCAAGCCCGTGAGGCTGCACTGGTAGGTCCCTTCAGCATCCAGCTGCACCCTGCAGGGGCAAGAGCCGCCGCGCCACGTCAGCTCCTGCCGCCCGGGAAATGCCCTCAAAGGGTGGCTGGTTGGCAAGGGAGAAGGGAGAAACTCCCTTCCCAAAGAGGGCAGAGGACTTTATCTAAAAAGCACAGAAGCCACAGTCATTTTTAACCGTCACCCAGGGGGGGTTAAAAACCAGCCAGCACATGCAAAATAGCTGCAGGGAGCTCTTCTGAAGAGCATTTCCTGCAAACAAAGCAGCTGCTCCCACACCGAGGGCTGGCTCACATCAAACCAGAGCCAACATCACCCAGTGATGATGGGGACACCACCACCATCACACACTGGTGACAGCTTCCAAGCCAGGGAGCAGGAGAACCAGGTTGGCACCCAACAAAAAAAGCATGCTCAGTGCACGTGGGGAGGATGAATATTCCTGCAAAATGGGCAGGAGCCCTCGTGTGTGTCCAGACTTTTAAAAAAAGCATGGAAAAATGTTCCTGATGCCCATTACTGCAGTGAGACGTGGAGGGCAGGAAGCTGTCCCAAGGGATTTCTTGGACCAGGACCTACAGCTGCCCTGCACTGTTTATTTTGAAGGATTCGGGGGCATCTGTTGTAGCTCCAAACATGTTTGTGCAGCAAATTAAGCCTTTTTCCCCACTTAAACTGAAGAGATAATATCTTGATGAGAACAATATAAATGTTTACCCATTATATTAAAAAAAACACATACACATGTTGTCCTCCAGCAAATCTCCTGGGGGTCACCAGCTCCTTCTGGTCCTACAAGAAGATTTTTTTAAATACATCTTTTAAAAGCTGATGAGAGAGGAGAATCACTATTTGCAGATTATCTCATGCAAAGTGGGTGGGCTGTGGGTTGGTTGGTTTTCTTTTTAAATAAACCTACATTTTCATTTCTGCAGTGCTCACAGGGTGGCAGACAGTTCACTCCTGGTGAGAAAACAGGAAGAGCAGCTCATTAAAAGCAGAGCAATTAAACAGTCAGGAAAAGCTGGGCCCTCAGGAGATCTGTTACTACCTGCTTCATTGCAGCCTGGTAGCGACTCCTTCTCCTCCTCCTGTTCTTCATCTACAAAAAGAAAAAGAAGTTTGCAGCAAATATCTCAGTCTCCAGCAGGTTTCTGCTCCAGGACCCAGCAAGGACAATCCACCAAACTGATTTGTTCATGCTCATAAAACCCTAAGGAGAATATTCCTAAGACTAAGTCCTTGCACACTCCCCTGCACCCCTGCATGTGAGGGTGAAGCCAAACATCAGGATGCACCACTTGGCAAGAGCCCATAACTGGCCTAGACTACTGGAAAAAGTTTTTCAGGGTTAAAAAAGGAAAACAACAGGTTTTATCTCCAGGATAAGTTTGATGGTGCCAAGTACAAAGTTCAACCACCTGGCATGGAAGTGCTTCCCAGGGAGCAGGTAACCACGCCAGGGCAGCATATTTGTCCCTAAAATGATTTCAGAATGAATCCTCCTCACTAACCCCCAGGACAACAGCAAGCAGAGCTGACACGGGGGTGAGGGGGAAAGCTTTTAGCCCCAAGGGTGGGTTTTGCAGGAGCTGTGGTGACAGGGACCAGCTGGCCACTGGCACGCAGTGGCCTGGGCACTGTGCTCTGGCTCCCTGTGCCACCAACACCCCTCCCTGCAAGCAGGGGACTGTCCCAGAGTTACCTCAGGACATCAACATCCCCCCACTGGGTAAACTGCCCAGCAAGTCGTTTTCCCCAAGGACACAGAGATGACAGCTGGGCCGGCAGGGAATGACTCTGTTGCCATCCCACATCACCGCCCACGCATCCCTCACCAGCTCCCTCACATCCCTCACCAGCTCCCTCACATCCCTCACCAGCTCCCTCACATCCCTCACCAGCTCCCTCACGCCTTGGGAGGCAGATAGAAGGGACAAAAACAAACCAACACTCACCCGACCTTCTGCCATCTGACTCCTCTGCATCTGATGAGAAAAAGCTTTGCAATTATTCCACCACAGACTATCAATCCTGCCTGAAGCCCCAATTAACTGCCGGTGGTGCAACCCACGGAAGTGCAAACCCACAGGCTTCTCATCAACAGCAAAGGCTTCCTTTAATTCTTTTCCTGGCCATCCTGTTTTGCCACTTTTCCTGCCAACTTTTAAGCAGATTTATAGCCTCTTGGTGCTTGGACCAACTACTGTGGTATAAAAACATCTGTGGGTATTGTATCTATGAGGCTAAAGCAACATCAGCTGCTGCTCCTCTGTTACTGCTCTGCTCAAAACTGAGTGGCTAGAAAATACTTTCCTTACCAAAAACACCATCTGGCTTTTCAGCCTGCAATCCCTGTCCTATGCAACAACCCTGAGACTGTTCCCATGAAGACCAGTTGGTTTAAAGCCTTTTCAAAAGGGAGAGAACACACAAAGTACAAGGAGATGCTCACCTGACTCCTCTTCCGAGCTGCTGCTGGAGCTGTTTTCAGAACTCTCCTCTCCTTAACAAAATGACACCCCATTAGTCACAGGCAGAATGAAATAAAGCATTGACCCAGGGAAGTCAAAAGGATACATCCAGAAGTTGGAATACATGAAGTTGGTCGGCAAGTTGGATAATATAACAGAGCAGAAAAAATCCTGAGGCACCCTTAGGCAACGAGGAGCATCAGGGCATCTAATCCCAGGATGAGAGGAGAGTCCAGGGTCAGCCAGGCCCTTCTGAAGGGTATGTGTGATGCTCAAGATGCTTAACTTTCATGTTTTATAATACCTGGGACTATTCGGGACCCATCCCAGTCCACCCAGTTAAATTCTGGTTTTCCATGACATGCAGGTGAGGTGGGAGAAGCCTCGGTGGGAGCTGCTGTGTCAGTGATGTGACTCATGGGGATGCACCATGTGTGGCTCTAATCAATTGCTCTGACAAACCTAAACCCAAGAGAAACCAGTACTGCAAAGCAAGTGGCCTGAGGAGTCACAGCAGCACCCACATTGGGGCTTTATCACGGTGTGGGGAAAGAGGGGGTGCAAGAACAGCCCTCCCCAGCCCTCAGCCACCTGTGTGCCCACCTGCTGGGTGCTCCTCAGCTGAGCCCTCTCCCTCCACACTGCTGGTCACCAGCTCTGCAAGAGAAAAGTGGTCAGAGGCTACCAGTGGGAGAGAGATGTAACTCCTCTCTTGGTGTTTGTGTACTGTGCCAGACAGAGGAAGGGAATAAATAGCAAAGGAATATGTAACTTGGCAATTGGTATAACAACAAAAAAAAATATATCAGAACTCTTATCCATTACTCTAAGGTATTGTAGAATCACAGACTGGTTTAGGATGGAAGGGACTTTAAGATCATCTAGTTGCAAATGGGCAGGGACACCTCCCAGCAGCCCAGGCTGCTCCAAGCCCCATCCAACCTGCCCTTCAGCACTGCCAGGGATGGGGCAGCCACAGCTTCCCTGGGCAGCCTGGGTCAGTGTCTCACCACCCCCACAGCAACAATTTCCTTCCTAAGATCTAAGTCTTCCCTCTTTTCCTCTGAAACCATTCCTCCTTGTCCTGTCACTCCATGCCCTTACAAAAGGTCCCTCCCCAGCTTTCCTGTAAACCCGAATCATTACGCTGTGGTTGTCAAAGCCACCAGTCACAGAACTGTCACTTCCATCCTGCAGGATGGCCACTTCCCCCAGCAAACCCATCTGAAACACTGTTCATTCCCAAAATCACCATACCTTTCTCATCTGAAGAGAGGGACTCGGCTCCGCTGGAAGACAAACAGGAATCCCATGAGCAGATCCTCCAGCACCACAGGCTGTTCCACCACCCCCTGCCTGCTCCCCATCACTCCCCAGCTTTGGGAGCTTAGGAGGTGACTTAGGATGGGGACTAAAAATTAAATTTTCCCTAACATCACTCTCAGCAGAGCCCTGGACCCTTCCCCAAAGCCCCCAGGGTTTGTGTGCCAGGCACCTGTCAGTCTCTGCAAGACACCAGGCTCAGACAAACAAGCTCAGATGTGGCAGATAACCCCAAATGACCCCATCACCCATTCATGGCCCAGGGCAAAATCCAGACCAACCTTCAGGCTGCATTGAAAAGGGGAAATTACAGATAAAGATCAGGGCTGGAAGCCTTCCCCTGGAGCTCCAGAACATCCTCCCTCTGGCACAAAACCTGCTGCTGAGGAGAGGAACTGCCCTGTGCATAGTTACCACAAACCAGCAGGTGACACCCAGCCTTCAGTGGCACAACAAAACACACCCCAGCCCCTCCACCAGGCCAGGGAAAGCTCAGATATTCCCTCCCTCTTTGGAGGCAGGTGAGGGATTTGGCTGCCAAGGTGAGGTCAAGCCACAGCTGCTGGTTTTTAGCAGCTCGGGAGGCTGATTTTGACCATCCCAGGTTGCCACAGTGCACCTAGAGCCCCAGCATCCCGGGGTGCATCCAGGAGTGGAGCCACCAGGGTGTGGGGGCATCACTGTGGGAGCCAGAGCTGCTGCTGTGCCAGGAGGGCTCAACCACTGGAGTCAATAATAAAAACTAAAGAGGTGGCAGCAGCAGAGGCAGAGAAAATAACCAACCCTCCCCAACGCGTGGCCAAGGTGAGGAGATGCAAACAAAGAAAAAACAAACCCAAAAGGGGTGCTGGGTGAAGCAGGGGGGGGTGGGGG